TTTGCAGATGATACTGTACTAAAACACAAATTATAAAAGCATATACAAGCTGTAAGAAATTCCACTTACAGGTTGATAACAGAATAAGATTCATCTTGGAAAAATGCAGACTACTAGTAACAATACATTTGGGGAAAAAATAATCTACAACACAGATACTCAGTCCAGGAGTGGGCGAGTTCTGGCCAGAAGGCTGAGTTGGCTGCAGTACAACGTTGTAGAAAACAGGCCAGGACTCTTCCGGCTGTTGTGTACAATGCCATCTAGAGTTTACAGAGTGACAACAGGAGATCCTAACATCCAACATCCAACACCAACCACCTAGTATTCTTCATTATGTTTGTTGTTGACATAATGCTTGTCGACATTTTCATCATTTCGTATTTGTAAACAAAGATACCCAATAAATAATTTCAGATGCTGTACAGTAGGAAAGAAAATGCCACCACTAGAGCAGAAAGAAAATAGGGAATGATATTTTAACATTGTCCAAAGATTTCATTGTGGAGTGATGACTAAAGCAGCATTGTCAGCGGTAGGCGCTGTCTCCCTTCTACTCCACTCAGTGGAGGGCTGGTAAAGATGAGACCAAGAATACAAGGGAACAAGGAAAAGGACTATCAAAGATGGTTTATAAACTGACTAGAGTGATATATTGTCAAACCTCAGGTAGCCAGAACATACTGGGGGCAGTCTGTGAATATCTTTGAATATGTTTAGGGTCTCCAGGGGAAAAATAAAGGAAATAATTTCTCCACTTGAGTATGAAAATATATCAATTTGGCCAGGGATTTAACTCAGTGGCTTAAGCGCCCACCTGGCAAGCATGAGGTCATAAGTTCGATCCCTGGTACCAAAAAAATATATGTATCAATCCCTACACTGGTTCTTGAAGTATATGCATCTATGATTAAATGCATAGTGTATCAGATTATTAATGTGCTCTATTATTATTAAAAGTTTTTGTAAATAGTTAAATCATAATATCAGTTTATGAATATAATTGTCAGTGTCCATAGAATAGGTATGATTTTAGAAGTGATAGACAACTTCAGTGTTAGAAGCCACTTAATAGCTGAAAGAAAAACAGTTTACTTTAAAACTAATGTAAAGCTCGGGTCATACATGTACAGTCTGGATATATTACACTATATAAATCATTCATAGACTCTGTGCTAGAGCAAATTTAGACATTCCTCATTGTGCAGATTTTCTAAATACTGGGTTAAAATGAAACAATTTCATCAAACACTAGGTGAGACTGAGAGAACATAATTATAATAAATGCCACTCTGAAACAAATGTAGTTTTTTTTAAGCCAGTTTTGATTTTTCTGGTGCTGGGAGGATAGTCCCAAGCAAATTGACAAATCAACTTGCTTATGAAATTTTCTTTTCAAACAATTCTTTACTAGATTCTACAGTCGGATCTTAGGTTTGTTTAATAGACATTTTGCAAGAACTCTAAATAATCCAGGCATTATGTGAGGCTATAGAGACAATAGAAGGATCAAAATATGATCACTATTGTCATAAACACACAATCACAAAAGAGTGAAAGGGGTCAGTGTGAAGGCTGAAGAAGAAACCTTCACTCAGATTTCAGAGGATGGGAGAAACAGGGCCAGAGAGGGATTAGCTGTGAAAGAGATGCCCAAGTTCATACAATAAAAGTTCATAAACTTTTATTCCACTAAGAATAAGTATAATCCAGCTATGGATGGTGCACACCTGTAATCCCAGCACTTAGGGAGGCTGAGAGCTGAGAATCACAAATTCAAGCCACTTGCTTGGGCAACATAGTGACTGCCTCAAAAAATAAATAAATCAAAAAAAGACTGAGGAAGTAGTTCAGGGCTCAATCTCCAGTACAATGTAAAAAATATACATTGTAGTGTCCACCCATACATACACTTTCAGAAAAACAGAAAAAGTATTATCATGTTTTATATACTTAGAAAAATAGAGCAAGAATTATCACATTAAAACCAAATGCTACATTTTTTAAATTTCCACTTTCTAATCAATGAAACAAATGGAATATGTGTTTTTGAAAATATAGCAAGTGCTTGATTCTTATTCAGATCCTTCGATTTTTCTAAGATATAAAGTTCTTGCAATTGCTTATGTTGTTCAAAATCAACAATAATTCCAAAATAGGATTTGTATACCTTAAATTGTCCCACTGTTACTGCATCAGATAATCTATAGAATCTTATAATAGCATAGTGCTAGTTTTCTAGGAAACATTAGCTATGTATAATGAATAGAAAAAGGACAAAACTTTTGAACTTATTTAGGTAGTTGCCCTGTGCCCTCTAATTACATAGATGGCATCTAAGATACCTAAGTGAAAATTGCCTAATAAATACATTTCTTCTCTTAAGGAACTCATAATTCTTCAGCTATTTGTTCATTTCCTAATACTTTAATAACAGCATTTTTTAACTTGAGTGAGTCGTATCACCCATCCCCGTTTCTCAGCAGCAGTAGAGAAAATTCATATATTTTACACTATGTTCTTCATTTGATTTGTTCTCAATGTGGAAGCTAAATTTTTATCAAGAGTGGAATAAGGTAAGATACAGAGTCACTGTGGAATGTACCCTTAATTCTGTCATTATCTGCTGAAGGCTGAGTTATGTCTACATTGATTTACAGTTCTGGTACATGAATAAACAAAAGTATTTTCTTCTGAAATTATTTTGTCAGAAAAGTTATATGGAGGTTTTCACTTATTTTTCATATATATTTGTATAGACATTATTATTAAACCATGCAGCATAAGTTCTTTGTGAGAAGTAGGCTTCCTTCACAGTTTACAGTTCTGCACATATTTCCTTAAGTTTCACAGAATTTCCTGCAACCAAAGGATTCCAAACAAAAATAATCAGTGCATTTCTATAAAATGATTTTGAAGCACTCAAAACTGCTATGTCAGTATAAGATACTTGTTTATAATATATAATAATATTTTATAATATAATATTTTAATGTTAATAATTACACTGTAAAACTACTCATGGAGCAAAAAAAAATCTGAAACTGCTAGTATTTTATCTCACAGCTATTCTTATGGTACCAAATCACTGGATAATAGTTGGTTTTGGTGTTGTGTTTGGTTTGAAGGAAAAAGAAAGCACTCTTGTTTTTGTAAACAAATAGCTTATTCATATCTACTTGATGCAAAAATGATAGTATTTATTCTTACTTTGGAAAAGAATGGGGTGTATAAAACCAGTAATTATCTGCTATCAGAGCTAAATTATACTTAGATAGGTGATTTGCATGATGGTTTTGGTAGACTTTTAAAAATTGTGGCAATCTGTTAGTAATTGTGACTATGAATATGGGGTATTCAATCAAGATTACTTTTTCATCTATACCTTTGCTTTCTAGAACACTTTCATATCCTTATGTATTAAAGTATATTGGGTAAGCTGCATTCGATCTGAAATACTTCAGTTACTAAAATAATAGCAACAAAATCATCAGATTTAAAGGACTTTAATATATAAGCAGATCCCCATGGCAGGACCTTCAGAATAATACTGTATCGACATTCTGGAATTTTTATAAGTAAATGTATATGAGTGAATAAAATATAAACTTTGCATAATTTCAAAATAATTTTACCTTAAATACAAAAATGGTATCTAGAAAAGTACTTATATAGAAGAATAACCTCTAATTTTAAAAGTATATCTTTATTTTAGGATAATTAGTTTAAGTGAAATGTATGCTAATAAAAATCTGTTTCTGTCTTTCAATACTTAAAAAATGAATTTTAATTTGTAATATCTCCTAAGAAACAGAAGCTATAGTTTTTCTTCTTATTAACCACTAGAGATTAAAAGTGCTTGACTTCTGTTTAATGATTGAACTTAGAATTTAGAATTTAGAAAATTGCTAGGAAGTGAGTTCAAAATTGGATACAGATAAATTAGAAAGTTTGCGTTGGTTTGATAGCAAAAGTCATGAGTAGAACCACATGAACTAATCTTAGCCCAGCCAGTGATTTAACAGAGCAGATCAGTGCTCAGTGCCAAAGGGCAGATGTGGGCAGCCCCTCCCTGGCCAACGCTGTTCATCTTTCAGCCTCGCTCTAGTTGAATTTCAGTTCACCAATCTTTTGGAGACTGATGCAAACAGCAAAAATCTATACCCCGACGTTTTCATGAGACGTGATTTTCTCGATGTTGTGTCTTTTCACTCTGTTGTTCAGTACCAGGTCATTTCTTAGGAATCTCCATATTCCATAGGAGGAAAATTGCCAGTCTGAAAGCTCAGTGTGTTTGGCATTCTATTGCTTATCACGTTTTTGCCCTCTAGGTGCCAACCTGGATTCACTGGAGCAAGATGTACTGAGAATGTGCCCATGAAAGTCCAAAACCAAGAAAGTATGTTAAAATAATCTGAAATTTGCTTTCTCCCCCAAAGTACAGCAACAGTCACTACCACTTGGTGCTTTTATAGCTCAGTCGTAACTGATTTCTTTTGTTCTAATTGTGGTTGATCCACTCGAGAGCATGAACCCTTTCACTGTGATTTGCTTAGGTATCTTTCTTCATAGGTCTCAGAGTCACAGATGTGACAGAATGGCAGTCAGGACTGCTTGTGAGGCCGGCGATCGGTGGCAGGCAAGCCAACCAAAACCATTTCTTTCCAACATCTTTGACCAAAACCATCAAAATACAAAACTGAGAGCCCTATAACATCAGATCTTAATTTTTTAAGTTTCCCTTCAAAAGAAAGCAGTCACTTAAAATGCTGGAATCTTCCTGTCACACAAACCCACGAGCTGCATTTTGTCTAAATTTTTGAACCATTTGGGTGACATGCCAGAGCCTGAAAGCCATAATTAGGACAAAGAGTCAGTTCCTGAGGGTGAACTCACCAAGGTCAGTGCAATGACACTGAAGGAGCTTCTTTCTAGCATATATTCACCTCTTCTCTTTTTCTCTGTTTTTTTCTACCATTGTTTTTTGTTTCTTCTCTCAGGTGCCCAAATGAGTTTACTGGTGATCGCTGCCAAAACTACGTAATGGCCAGCTTCTACAGTACGTCCACTCCCTTTCTGTCTCTGCCTGAATAGGAGCATGCGCAGTCGGTGCTGCTTTCTTGTCGCTGCATCTCCCTCAGATTTCACCTAGAGCTAGACGTGTTTTACCAGGTCTAATATTGACTGCCTCTGCCTGTCGCATGAGAACATTAACAAAAGCAATTGTATTACTCCCTCTGTTCGTGACTAGTTGGCTCTCAGATACTAATAGGTGTGTGAGGCTCCGGATGTTTCTGAAATTGATACCGCATCATGTGATGATGCAAACTGATAGTCAACATCAAGCAGTAAAATTATAATAAAGGCATTTAAAAGTCTCATTTTTATTGGTAAAATAAAATCATTCCACTGGGCAGTCCATCTTCTGTATCCATGTCAACATCCTGAAAGGGTGTTGCTAAGCTGTAAACAATATGCACTTGAAATGATGGTAAGTTAATTTGGTTCGGAGTGTGTTATTTATACCAAATAAACATCATAAAAAGAGTTCAGATGTTTCTCTTCATTAACCAAATGATTTGCATGTAGGCATTTAAAAGAAAATATGAGTAGGAAAATTAAAAACAAACATTTCACAGCAAATAAAATATCCTGGCTTTTATTTATGCTGTTTAAGGAATCAGTAATTCAAGGCTAGCTTAAATAACCATTTTTGGGCTTGAATTTCTTTATTTTGGTCAGTGTTCACTTTGTTAGTTGCAAAGGTGATTTTAGGAGAAAATAGTTACTGTTACTTTAGTATGTTTTTCTTTGAAATGTAACAACTCAGCTCTAGAATGTATATGTATTTTTACATGCATAATTAAGAAATTCTAATGTGGCTTCATGGTGTTCTAAGCATCATTCCTAAAATACCCAATTCACGTGGTTTATAACTGCATAAATAACTAAAGTGTTTATTTGTCCCTCTGTTGTGAACAGGGATTATAGCTTTTGGTTCTAGAGCTTTCAAAATATATCCTTCAAAATGGATTCCATTTGATTATGCATTCAGCTCCAGAATTAGCAGATTTTTATGTATAGTTTCAGATAATATATTTTTGAGCTTGCGGTGGTGCCACGACTATCTCAACCACTTGGTTCTACTGCTGTGGCATGGAAGCAGCCATAGACAGTCCATAAATTGATGCATGTGGCTAAGTCCCGCCACATCTCCATTTCCAGAGAAGTAGGCAGGGGACTGGATTTAGCAGTCTCTGATTTGTCTTCTGCTGTCAGCTGCTCACCCTAAAAAATACCCACATAGCTCATTAGAGTTTAAATTTATACAGCACAATAGTGACACAGATGGTCACGTAAGGGCTTTAAACAAATCCTTGCTATGCTGCATGCAAATAATAAGGTTATGTTAATAGTTGTAGAAGTTATGGGGATGAATTCTATAATGCACTATGGCAAGATTGTACCCATAGTACATTTTGTGAAGTGATGCTTATCACATATTTACATAAGCTACCTATCAAAGATTATATCACAGGTCATTTTCTGTCATAAAAACTTGACAAATAGACATTACTAAATTTTCAAGCTTCACTTTATTCACAACTAATTAATATCCATTTATTGAACAAGATAGTTCTCTCTATAGATTTTTGAAGGTAGATAAGGCATCAAGTAAAATTCGAAGCAAAAAAAATGTTATTGAGTACATTAAAACTATTCCTGTTAGAAATTTGTGCTTGTATTCAAACAGCATAGATGTGGTCCATTTGACTCTGTACATATAATACAATCAAAGTTTAGAAATTAAGGAAAATTCTGGGGCCGGGGATATAGCTCAGTGGCGTAAGCACCTGCCTGGCAAGCGGGATCCCCGGTACCACCAAAAAACAAAAAAAAAAAAAAAAAAAAAAAAAAAAAAAGAAGAAAAGAAATTAAGGAAAATTCTGAACACTTAAATTATATAATTTCATTATGCATTGCACATAATGTTTGGTCACTTTCTAAAGAAAATCACTAAAAATGACGCTATTTCCCTGAATAATATGCAATTAGATCTGACAGCAGTGACCAAAGAAAATGTTTTCATTCACTTTGTGACCATTTTCTCTTTCATAAGATATCACTTAAAAATAACCACTCTGTATTTGTGAAGTCCAGAGAGCGAATCCTTAAATACAATCTTTAGAAAGCTTTCAGTGACACTTTTCGAAGACAATCAGGAAATTATCGTTCATGCTTAACTTGATTTAACCAAGATTGATAGGAAGCATATTTATTTACCAAAAAAAAAGTAATGACTCTGCATTATTGATGCCTAGTGTCTGGAAAACCAGAGGTTGCAATCAGACATTGCTTTCCAGAATTGTCCTGCCTATGGTTAATTTTTTAACCTCTATGACTGAAATTCTCGTTTTTATCTCAACAAACCACTATGCAGAAAGAAAAAATAAATTTTGCTTCACTAAGAAAGAACTTTATGTTCAAACAGCAGTGAAGTTTGAAAAAAAAGGTTAGAAATATTATTACAGAGGTCATTTAAAATTTAATTGTACACTTAGTGTCTTAAGAGAATAATACAAATTTTCAAGGAAAAAATAATCCCTGTCATCCAAGTGAAATAGTTAAATCTAACCAAACCATATTTTCTTTTGAAGAATAATATTCTAAAAGAATGTATCTATAATTTTTAAATGCTTGTTAGCATATAACTTACATATTAGAATTTGACACAGTGATTCTGGTCCGAATGTCCTATGGGCCATGATTTAAAATGTGATAGAAAGAAAAACATGCATATTTTATAAAATAACCATTTGCCTTGAAATATAACATTTATAGTTCCTTGGAAAATGCCATCAAGTTGACTCAGCTTCAAATTCAACCTATTTTGATGCAACCCCTACATGATAGAACTGTGTCCATCAATGTGTGGTGTAGGATATGGATGTGTGTGTGTGTGTGTGTGTGTGTGTGTGTGTGTGTGCATGTGTATATAGAAGGTCCTTAATGTATAGACTTCCCAAGAAAAAGCATCTGCAGCTTCAATAGTTAGAAACAGTATGGAGCAAGTACATCCTATAGAAACTAACAAATAGCAGGAACTAATTATAAGACAGCTCAATTTATAAAATTTAAAGAGTACAATTTTAGAATTCTTAGGCACATTCTCAAAATGAGTCAACTTACTAGATATTTTTGAAAGTAGTTTTGAATCATGTTATTAGTGCATCAGTAATTTCATGGATTTCTTTCTAAGTGCTTTTAAAACCTGTTAAAATAATGTATTTACCAAATGTGTATATTGCTAATAGTAGAATAAAGACACACTCCACCTATGACAAAATTGTGATAAATTCCAACCGAGTGTGAGATTTACTGTGTGTGTGTTTGTGTGTGCATGTGTGTGTCTGTGTGTGTGTGTGTGTGTGCACACTTATTGCCCATGGAAACTTGAGAATAAGGAACAAAGGGCTCAGTGACAATATGGATTGGCATATGTGAAAAAATGTCTACATTTTAAAGGTAAGTCTAAATTTAAGTCAGACACTAAACTGTTCCCATCTAGAACTGGCATTGACAAAACTCCTTTAGAAATCTTACAGGGCAGAAAACTAAAACTGCCAGGTCTTTGAGTTTATTTGTATAAACAAGCCCAAATTCCTAAAGAATAAAATCCTGAATATCTTCAAATTTTAACAGAAATTTTAAAGGCTGTGGATGTATAATTTTAGTGAAAGAAAGTTATTTTATTGTGCTTTTTTTCCTAATGCAACTGAAAATTTAAATTAACCTCCAGGTTAATCAGTTTTCTTTAAGCAATTATAAAATCCTAAGGCAAAGGATTAGTGAGTCAATATTTAATAATTTCTGAAGACTCTTAGATTTAAATTAATTTTTTATATTGCTTAGGGCACAGCAGGAAATCACATGTAGAAAAGGAAACTAAATTGTTTACAATAACCTTTGTGTTTTTGAATTATTAATTTAATTTGAAAAATGTATTGGGTAGGCAGAAGTTCAATAGGAAGCCTGTGATACATAATGAGCCTAAGCCAACATTAGATTAAACAGAACAGATAGAAATAACCTCTCCATCAAATGAAAAGTGTTGCATATTCTGCTTTTTTGACTCATGTTGAAAAAACTGTAGCTCCCAGTAGTAAAAATAAATGAGAGCGGGGTTTGCTCTGGGTCTAGAATGACGGATGCATGCTTCCTCTGCTTGTTTCCTTGTTAGGGCTGATGGCCAGAAGGATTCCAGTTTTAAGTACCAATTTCCCATTGAATTATTTGAAATTGGAACTGCCTGATATGAATGACTTCCCTTGAAATGAAATTATCATTAGGCTCAGAGACTTACCTATAAAACTGTAAATGCAGTAATGTGTATGCATGGGCATGCTACTAATTTTATTGAAGACTTAACCAAGCTTTCTACGCAACTAATATAGATCATTAGCAGTGTTCACGTAGGCATGGAGTAAATGATTCCTTGGAAAGGTTTTCTGTAGCTATGTCTTGATTTTAACATTTAAAGGATCACTGAGTGGTAGAAGAAAAAGGAAGGAGAGGGTGGAGGGGCTTGTAGGAAGAAAAGTCGGTCCCATCCTCATGTCCTTGGAAAATGAATGTTTTCAGGTTGATGTTCCAAAGTTTATATGAAGAAGGAAAATGAGAGAAATTGAATGTGGTATAGAGACAAAAGATATTTGTTTGGTTTTAAATAAACTATTTTACTGGGAACATCTTATGCAACAAAATCTCCTGGCTTCTAATTTATGAAAAATTCAGGTCATTTGTCTATGTACACTGGCCCCAAGACACAGGAAACTATTATATACTGTGCCTCCCATTATTAATATATGCATGTATTTTTCTTTTTAAGTTTGGGAAGCATGATTCCTTTAAAGTCTGTTTCTTAGATATATCCCAGGAGCTTCCAGAATTGTCCTGGCCTTGAAATTAGTCTAAAAAACCTGAACGCAGTAAGTGGCCTGAGGTACATCTCCAGATGTGTCTGGCTTCAAGATGTTAACCCCTTCTTCAGTTGGCCAGTGTATTTCCTGGGTTACCAGGGAAGCATGTTTGTCTTACGTATTTGGGCAATGAAAAATTAGCTCGTCCAAAGTTACTAAGCAGGTAAGTGGCAGAGGCAGAACCTAAAGCCAAGAGGACCCAGCACATGGACACATGTTCCCCCTCTGTGGAGGCTCTTTCCCTGTGCCCAAATTGATGTACTGCAAGAGTGCCATCCCTCTATTACATTTTCCTAATGTCAGAGATACTTGTGATGTTAGAAGAGTGCCCTGCTGATTCTTCAAGCCATTGATCAAGAGAGGAAAATGCAGGCTTCTGTTGGCATTACACCCCTCCATCCCATCTGCCTCCTCACCTCTGTGCACAAGCAATGAAGGAGCACCTTAAAGGCTTGCACACACGGAAATATTTTTAAAATTTAGATTTCATTTTTATATTTTCCTTTGCCTCGTTCCCCTCACTTCCTCATTTAATCTTGAGCAAGTTCTGCTCTCCTCCAATCATGGCATCTAGAAAGCCAGTGCTACCAGGGTTACAGGCTGTAGGCTTGCAGCCGTAAGTCCCCTGCCGTGGGTGGAGCTGCAGATCTCAGAGCCTTGCCCCAGGGAGCTCAGCACTGTGAGGAAGATGATCTAATGGTTACTTGAAAGAGTAATAAAGTGAAATTAATTAAAAGGCCCCAGAAACTCTATCCCACCCACGCACATACATAGGCTTGATTTTTTCTTTTTTTGTAATTTGAAAAATTAAGGCTTGGAGTTGCACAAACATTAATATGGGGAAAAAAACTGGGTGAAATCTCTATAGTCTTGAGTCAGTTAGATATTTGGGAGGGAGGGTTTGTGGTTTTCCATGAATGAAATATACTAAGAAAAAAACACATAAAGTGAAAAAAGAACTGCAGAACAAGAACTACTAAACCATTTACTGACCCCCCAAAATGAAACCGTAAGTCTAACATCACAAAATGTTCAGGTCCAATACTATCCACTTGGCTTCTACTTCTGGCTCTGCCATTGTATCTGAGAAAAATTCAAATTATCCCCTTTGGGACATTCCTTTATTCGAGGAAAAAAAAGATATCAGATGCCTTATCTGATTAGAAAAATAATGTTTCTTTTCTCAGTGGGAAGCATAGAGGTTAGCTCAGCCATGTAACTTCTCCCTCAGCGAAGCTTTTAAGGTTTAATGGGATGCTTACCTGAGCACTGCTGTGTGAACCAGCTGCTACTCGCCCTATCCCCTGTGCACGCACAGAGCTGTAAGAGTCATGTGTAATGTGTTTTGGAGTGCAGTGTATTGCTCTTTTCTGAAACTTTTTCCCTTTCTTTTTTTTTTTTTTTTTTTTTTTTTTGTGTCAACTTTCTGCATTGGCAGAGCATCTTGGGATTGAATTTATGGGTATGAACCAATCATCATTCCTTTTAGCCTGCAGATTTTAGAACCTATGAGCTGAAATCTCTTTCTTCTCTTACTTTTCAGTTTCTAACTAATTTCCTTTTTCTTTTGAAGGGATCATACAGCTATAACAATGATTTATCTATTTTCCCTCTATGATTATTAGTTTATTAAAACGTTGCCGAGTGCAGCAGTTTTTAAATTCCCAAGGTACCTTCACTTAAGAGTTTCAAATCCAACCCCCCCACCCAACCTGCTACAGATTCAAATAGACCCCACATTGTGTGACCCACTGATTGAGTTTACCAAAGCTGGGGTAAGTAAGAGCAGTGTACATGGCTACAGGAGAACTCAGACCAGGAACTTGAGAACAGAAAAGTCTCTAAATGCATCTATTTAAAAGCCACACCACATTCTAGAATGATGTCAGTTTGGAGTACAGTTTAAGAACCATCTCTTTAATATAGTAGCATAGCCCTTATGTGACAATACAGCACAACATGCACAGACAGGATACTCAGGTTTTCTGGAGATATTCAAGGATGACTGTAGCCAACTTCATTGTCTTCTAAGCGAGGAAAAAGAACATAGAAAAAAAGAAGCCTTGTGGCATTTTAGGTGGAAATTTCAGGGCTCAGAAATTAAATTTGAGTCACTAAGATTACCAGATAAGTAACCAAATAGAAAAATTCACAACATAAACAGAAAAAAAGTCCCAGGAGTAGCTGAAATATGGGTATATTCCTGAAGGCCTTCATCCTCAATAACTGAGCAAAAGGCTGGTCCCAGGGTGTACAGGAAGCTCTGATACCACCCATGGCCTCCACAATGCTGGGCCTGCCTGTCTTTGTGAGTGCTGTGTGTGGCCCTGGAATATAAAGCATGGCTCTCTGGGCATTAAAGCATCTCTCACTTAGCACTGTTAGGGTTTCTACCCTTCTGATAAAAACTGTCCCACTGCTCAAAGGCTGACAGTATTGACCTTTCCTTCAGGGAAGAAAAAGTTCCACCATTACAGTAGCAGCTCATGTCATAGTTTGAGGGTCAGACTATGAAATAATATTTCTATCACCAGATAATGAAGTCAGACAGTTGGGATATGTGACTTCTCCCTTGAGAAGTTCCCCTAAGTGTTGGGAAAGACACTTGTGCTAGTATCCACTGGTGTATGTCCCAAAGGCTCCACAGCCCACTAGACAAATGTACTACATCCTTAAAGAAAATCTCATCTGAAAGGGCAGTAAAACTGAGAAAGGCAAGGGTTCTGTGTTTTGGCTTGGACATTTCAGACTAGAAATGTGCCTGATTTGATTTACTACAGTGTGTCTAGCCAAGCTTTAAGCTCAGGAGAGTTTCCGCTCATGGACACAGATCCACCCATTTGGAAAGACTGAGTCTTAATTGACAACAGTGTCTCTTATTTGCTCAATGTTATGGACCCTATTCACAAGGAAAACAAAAAAAGAAAAAGGAGATAATGGAACTCATTGTTTTTGTTATTTTTAAATATGTTTCCTTTAATATGTTCATACTGTGGGGTCACCTGATCTAGCAAAACCACAGGAAAAAAGGTTATGCTTAGTCATGCTGGTAGGAATACAGAATTTTAATCTCTTTTCTGTATTCTATGGGTCTTCCACTTAATTGGTTCATTTTAGTACTTTCATATTTGTCCATTTTTAAGCTACCCTTTTATTTCCAGAAAATAATCACTTGGCTGGAAAGCATGTGTCTACACAACATGGGAAGAAGAGACCAGTCTTCCTACATCAGTTATTTACAAGCCCAACTCAGCTTCTCCTTTCGTAGTTGACAACCACAAAAAACACAGACCCTTGTCTAAAGAGTCCCATATACTCCAGAGGATTCCATTTATTTTCCCATTCAGCCCTTGTATATGCCCCAGTTTTGAAGTTTGCCACAGCAGTTTCCCAGCTTTTTCTAAAGGCACAATGTTAGTATATCAGTGAAAAATTCCAACCAAAGCTCTCAGACTTCTCTCTCTCTATCTCTCTCTCTTTCTCTCTCTCTCTCTCTCACTCTCTCTCTCCAGATCAAAGCCAAGCCTTTGTATATAATAATCAACCACTTTGCTACTTGGCTACAAACCAGCCCTGACTTTACCGTTTAAAAAAAATCAAATAAATGACAGGTGACAACAAAAAGTAGGGCCATCCTGTTTTGCCAGCAATATTTAGCCTCTTTTTTCTTAACCACCCATCCCAGCTCTGCGTTCTGGGTCCCCTGTAGGAGAACAGTGGGGGCAGTGCCTCTGCTGCTTACGTTTAAGCTTAAGTTAAAAACTGCTGGAGATGCCCAGGTCAGGAAGTGAGGCTACAGTGGGCTCATAGATGACACCTCGTCAAAAGTAACCCCCTGTGCTGCGACTCTGAGGGAGGGAAAGCAGCAGACACAAACAATTAACACACAGGCACTTGCATTCCATGTCCTTGTTTGACTTTCGTGGCACGCAACTCGTGACACCAACTCTCTGCCTCCCTACATTGTCGCTCCACATTGCACCAGCTGCTTTGCTTTCTAATTGTGGCTTCCCCACGACTGCCAGCCTAGGTCAGGAGTTATGCTGTATGGGGCAACCCTTCCACCCCGTCCTCCTCCCCTGCCAAGCATCTCCTCCTCTGGTTTTCGTTTATTTATTTATTCTTCCTCCCCTAGTATCAGGCATGCTGTGCCAGGGACTTCAGATGGCTCCCCACCTTTTAACCTTATTTTCCCTTGTACTTGACTTCCTTGCTCTCTGTCACTCTGTCAGTCTGTCTGTCCTCTTGGTTTGTTTTTCCTTTCCACTTCCAACCTTTTCAGTTTGTTTTTGTATAATCTGTGCAGCATTCTAGTATTATACCCACTGACTTCTCTCCTTTTCCTCCTCCTCCTCCTTTAATAATCAGTGTGCTATTAATTTGATTTGACAACGTTCTTGACCTGTTAACTGGGATTTGATTATCATGGGCTTGGCTTGTAGGAAATGTTCTGTTTAATGATAAGGCTCACTGTATCCTAGAAATTAAAATCCACTTTTTCATTTCAAAAAAACTTCCTGTGACTTGTACGCTCTCAATTGAGATGAAGGTGTAATTACTGAGACTGTGAATTTATCATGGAAATATTTTTGATGATGTCCAGATAAGAGAGTTCCAGTTGTACAATGATTCCCCAATTCTTGCCCAGCTTAATTTCAATGGCAAGTAAACAGTTCATACTGCTTACTGTGTGCTGGTTAAGTTCTCATTCTGAGTAACCTTGTGAAGGTCTTCTAACTAATAAATGTAAGTAGACAGTTGGAAATTCAGCTCTTAAGGGATCAAGGTTCCTATCACATCAAAAATCTTGTTGAGAAGTTGTCCTGCCTTGATATAATCATGTTATCTTTCAAAGAAAGTAATTTGTGAACAAAAAATTTTCTGTGAATTAGAGGTCAATTATATTTTAAATACTTTAGTACCGTTAGTTCAAAGTTCTAAGTATTATACTTAGGACAATGTCCATTAGCTAATTTGGCCAACGTGGGGATCTGTCTGTTCCAAATTCTACATCATTGTTCTAGGGACTGATTCCTCTACACAAAATTAGTTCTTTAAATTCAACTGATAAAATTATAAGCATTGGCCTCTAAAAAACACATCTTCCTCTTGGGCCAAGACTACCCGAACAATCATATTGGATTTTCTCTGATACAGTGTCTTGCTATGCCTACTGTGCTGCTTCTTGAGTTTCGCATTTTACTGATAAATCATAGGGATATTACTTCAGTTTCTTTAATGACTACAAGCCAAGTTCATGTTTGCAAATGTGTTTAAATTTAATTTTTTTAAAGCTACAAATGACTCTTTGTAAAGACCACGGGATTTGAAATAATGACATAGTGTAACTGAAAAATACAAAAAGCCTGGGGTGGATGTGGGGAAGGGAAAAAGGGAGACTCTCAGTTAATACTAATTTTAGTTCATTTTATTGCTGTGGATTCCTGTTGTCTTTGCAAGAGTCTTTTACTTTTTAAAAAAATTTTCCAAGAGATTTTTTTAAAACTGTAGTTTTAACCAAATCATGCTTTAAAATTAATTTTTATGATTTTCCAGTTTAATATATATATATAGCTTAATATGGCTTAATTGTAGAGTATAATGTTTTATTGTCAATCATCCCAGTTGGCTTTATTATTTATGTGCAAAATATAGCACATAGCATGTTGTATCTTACATATGTCTGTAAGTGTAAAGAATTGTTACATATTTTTTTGTGTGTGAATACGGACAATGTCATGCAGCATGCCACTGTTCAGGTGTAGTGAGCCCTGGCAATTCTAAGTGACCTCAGTGACATCTGCCCTCACTCCTTTCCAGAAGCGGAGGAGCTCTACCAGAAGAGAGTGCTGACCATAAGTGGCATCTGCATCGCTCTGCTGGTGGTCGGCATTATGTGTGTGGTGGCCTACTGCAAAACCAAGTAAACTTCTTTCTCCATACCTTTCTCTCTAGTTAGTGAGAGTACACTTAGGCAGCCAGGGCTTAGCATATTCTAGACTCTACACTCAAGGATGGCAGAAAAGAGTGGAGAGACATTCGTCCTTATTTTTCCCTGTAAATAATGCATTCTGACGGCTTTTCCTAATCATATACATTGGAAAAAGTATCTATTTGCATAAAAGTGCTCAGGAGATTTCTGACAAGTAACCACAGTACTGTGCATGGGTAAAGGTTTGGAGCAATGGGCTTCTATGGAAACCCAGGAGCGCACATAGATACTGCACAGGAAGAGGACAGTGTGGAGCTAGGGCTGTAGCTCGGCGGTAGAGCACTTGCCTAGTACGTGTGAGGCACTAGACTTGATACCTCCCTTGTACCATGAAAATAAATCAGAGAAACCAAGGGCAGAGTATAGGTACCAAAGCTGTGCGTGGCACAAGACTGCTAAGATTGAGTCCAATTTGCAAGGACCCTTACAGGATAAAAGAAACACACAGTGGTATTTAAAATACAGTTTTCAAAACATTGGAGTGGTTTAATTAGATTGGTAGTATAAAGGCTCTCAAGATGTGCAGTGTATAAAAAAACTTTTGGGAGAAAAATCAAGCAAAACTTACTTTGAAAAAATTAAAGAGAAAGCTTTCCAAATAGATTTGTGATCACCGTTCGATGCTTTAAGCTTGGTCCACATCAACAGGCATATTTACTGTCTGCCCTCTTTCCTGCACTTCAATCTACAATGTTTAATTAACAAGAGGTATTTATTTTATAGCATAATACTGTCTTGATGTAACTAGCCATGATTTTGGCATAATTATTATCATAATCTGAATGTTGCATTGAGTAATAAAAATGCACTTTTATACCACAGGATCAAAGGCATGCATTGTGTTTTGTCATTATCCGTGATGTATCATGAGCATGCAAAAGGGGTAAGCTTCACGGGCTTGACCCTCATAAGTCTTATTAACTTCAATCTTAGCACTTACTGCCCCCTTTCACAAAAAAATTTCAAGGGTAGGAATCATGTCATAGTTGTGCCAAAATCCAATGGCAAAATATGTCTATAATCTCATGTGATATTTATATACATACTGTGTCTAACTTACACATTCAAAGCTAAGCTCATCTCAAGAGAACACAGAAAGAAAACTGTAAATGGACTGAGCCTTGTGAATTCTAAGGCACAAAGTGTTGCTGAGGCAGTTGGCCATCTGTAAGACCTAGGCAAGGTGGATTGATTGTGAAAGCTGGGATCTTAGGCGAGTACCAACATATTTATTTTCTACTCCTTTTCTCTTGACTCTCAGTAACATAGGTGGATTTCTATGAGAATCCCATACAACTTTTTGAAATCTACATCACCACCATACTCAGGCATTGGTAGAAAAAAGCTTTGGCTGTACCAAGAAATGGAAATAATAGAAAAACTAAACGCTCCCTTTTTCATGTGTAGGAAACAGCGGAAAAAGCTTCACGACAGGCTTCGGCAGAGTCTTCGGTCGGAAAGGAACAACATGGTGAACATAGCAAACGGGCCACACCATCCTAACCCACCCCCCGAGAACGTTCAGCTGGTGAACGTATGTTGATTCTAGTCCGTGGAAAAATACTGAGCATCTCCTTTTCATCCTGGCACCTTGAAGTTTATTTTCTAAAGCTTTTAGGCTATTAGATGCAGCCATTAATCACAATGGCTTCCAGGAAACCAAGATTTTGCCAGGAGAAAATAATGGGAACATTTTTTAAAGTAGATTTGGTTACTGTAAAACCATCACATTCCTCTTATAAAATGTTTATTAAAGGGGTTGGAATAATAGTGCTGGGTTTGCTCTACAGGGATGGCATAACAAGGAAAAAGGAATAATAATAAAATAAATAGAATCAGAAAGAATATTTATTTTTTAATAATTGGGAAATGACTCCAGCCTGTGACTGATTAGTTCAGATCACTGAAGAAAGGGCTTTTTCTGTGATTTTTATTACGGCACTTCACAGTGTCTGATGATTTACTGGTTCTGCTTTCCAAAGACAGAAGTCAGGGCATGGACAAGTCAGGTAACTTATCAAGCACATGTCTCAGTAGCAAAACTAGGATAACTCCCTGGATTTTTTTTGATAACTCCCTGGATCTTGCTCTGAGTGTCAAGTCCTCCAGATGTAATCATGCACAATTCTGTGTATACTTTACCAAGAACTTGGCTTGTAAATTTAACTGGATCATAGACTATTCAACTTTGGAAATTGTTTATATATAATCTATCAAACCTTGCTTTATAGATAAGGGCCACAGCTATTCACAGATCTCTTGACTTTTGAAGTATTACTCCTTATATTCCAGCATAATACTTCTAGTTATGTTCTGTTGTATTTTTTGCATTTCTCACTAATGCACAGTTTTTTAATAGACAAAGTTTAAAGTTTCTATTGCAGTACCTTTTTTTGCAATGCAGTAGACAAATTTTGAGTGGAACAGATACATCATACTCATTTCTGGAGTTGGCACTTAACTGCCACCAACTTTTGTTAAGAAAATTGTTGGAGTGAGGTGCTAATAGGTTAACACACTCTATTTGCTCCCTCCCTCATCCATATTCATCAGAACATTCTGAAGATTGATAATTGTATCAACTACCACCACAACCATCCATCTCTCTATGTGTTATAATACATGAATCACATTACCGTGACTGCCTGGATTTCAGTTACAGCACAAATAGCGTAACTTTAAGCTGTAACTTTTTTTCAACCACATTTCATTGTGAAAATGGCTTAAATTAATAACTATTCCTGACTCCTTGTAAACATGAAATACAATAATCTATATGAAACACTTAGTCCAGTGCCACTTAGCAAGTTTCAGTAGTTGTTAAATACCACTTTCATTAGGTTCACGGAGCTTAAGTTGTCCCTAGGAAGCAAGAGTAGACTGTACATTGACCAGAGGTCACTTCATTTGTTTTCCTTAAAGCAAGCCAGCTCTACTTCCTAGTGGAATAGCCTTAGCATAAACAGAACTGGCTAGAGTTTCAAGCATACTTCAAGTTGTGTTATTTTGGGGCTTCCATGAAGATACCAGTTCTTTAAGGCTTATCAGACTGTAAATTTTCTGATTCATTAAAAAACACTGCTTTCCATTTCTTTTCTTGTTATTTAACTCAATTTAGCTAATGGTGTTTGAAATACAACTCAAAAAACAACTTTTAAAAATACAGTTTCTCTCTGATTCAAGGCGTTGATGGCTCCTGTGGTTTGCTGATGGAAATACAATGAAGTCAAATATAAGGCCCTGTGTATATTAAGTGCTTGGTCGAGATGCATAATCTTGGGGTGGGGGACATAGCTTAGCAGCCCAGTGCCTGCCTTGCAAGAGTGAATTTGATTCCCATTGCAAAGGAAAAAAAAAAGAAAGAAAGAAAGAAAGAAACAGAGAGAGAGAAAGAAAAAAAGAAAAGATGTGTTATCCTGACAACTATTGTAAGCCCTTCAAATTCTGCAATAGCTTTGTTAGTTTTACCACTGATGATGCTAAAAATTTCAATATCAGAAAGGTAACTTGAATACTATGAAATTGAGAAAAAAGGTAGATTCAAAATATAGATTTTAAAAGTCTTTCTAGTGACTTAAAGGTTAGAATAAAACAGGCTATGTCTATGATTTTGTTTCACTAAAATCTGTTAGTCTTTTACTCACAGCAATGCTAACAAAAAAAAAACAAATATTGCACTTTATTTTGAATTCTAGTCCTGTTATCAATTGGAAATGAGACAGACGAATGAAGCCTTTCCTGATAGAACAGAGTTATGGTTCTATAGAGTTAGATTCTATATTGTATATACTTACAGACAGTAATCCATTAATTCCATTCATTTAATCTAAAAGAGTAGCCAAGAAAGGATTTTCTATGTGGCCATCAGAGAAACACAAGTAGTTATGAAGCATGTATAATAACAATAGATTCACTTGTGCACAGTATTAGTTTTGCTATATTTGACTCTTCAAGTCGTGTCTTTTTGTTTATCCAGCAATACGTGTCCAAAAACGTCATCTCCAGTGAGCATATTGTGGAGAGAGAAGCCGAGACATCTTTTTCTACCAGTCATTATACCTCAACCACTCATCACTCCACCACTGTCACCCAGACTCCTAGTCACAGGTAGGAGAATTTTAAAATTTGATAACATGATTTCTCTTAAGAAGATTTTTTTTTTTTTGCATAATCCCCTTCACTGCCACTGCCTAAGAAAGAAAGATGTGTAAGAGGCAAAACATTGTACAGTCCTTGGGCGTACACAGACTGAGCGACTGAGCATCAGGGCAGTCTGCACTCCATTGCTGTGTCACTGAACCCCCCTCCCCCCAGAAAGAGGACAATACCTCCCTCGCAGAATTGCTGCTCTAGAGACTGTCTTTACTTGCCTCTGTCTGTCTCCTCACTGGACTGTCTCATTGGGAAGCCTGTCCTAGACCTGTAAGAACACTGAGTACTTAGTGACAATTGATCAGTAATATTGAAGGAGTAAATGTGTAAATAAATTATACGCTCACAAAGTCAATCTTCTTCATATGCAAGCATCTCTGTCACAATTCTGTTCTTAGCGAATGTTCTACTGAGGCACCCGTAACATGAAGCACAGTACTTGTCAGAGTCCCTTCCTTTCATTTCCATTTTTGCATATAATGAAAATAAAAATCTCACAGCCTCTCGCATCTCCTCCCTTCCAGCTGGAGCAACGGACACACAGAAAGCATTCTTTCGGAAAGCCACTCTGTCATTGTGATGTCATCAGTAGAAAACAGTAGGCACAGCAGCCCCAGTGGGGGCCCAAGAGGACGCCTTAATGGCCTGGGAGGCCCTCGCGAATGTAACAGCTTCCTCAGGCATGCCAGAGAAACCCCTGACTCCTACCGAGACTCTCCTCATAGCGAAAGGTAAAACCGAGGGCAGAGCTACTGCCGAGGAACCTCAGTAACAGAATCCTGTGAGCACCTGCAGTCTCACCGCAGGAAACCTGCCTGCTCAGAGTCGGGTGGCGCTTCCTGTTCTAGGAGTGCTTCTAGCTGATGAAGTCATCTTTTGGTTTGACTGAACTCATTTCTTCTGAGCTTCTCACGTCGTCCCATTGGCTGACAGGCGACAGACTCTTAAAGAGCTGAAGTGATTGAGGTGGAAGGCACAGCAGACTTGGAGTTCCCAGACCTGGCCATAGTCTCTGACCCCCTCCGGGTCTCTGTGTCCTCAGTTTTCACCTTAGACAGATGGCATCAATGCTGGATAAGGACCCTTCCTTCTCTAATTCTAATCTGCCACTTACCCAGACCTTAATTTTAGGGTTGAGTTGGCCTTGTGGTCTTATGTGTTAACTCTTTCTTACCTTCCAGCCTCACTTAACCCAAATGAAGGGCTGTGTCAGTACTGACAGTCATGGGGGCCAGCTGCCGGTGTTCCACCATACAGTGTCCCTTCTCTGACACTCCAAGGAAGGATGGATAAGTCAGTCTCTTGTGTGCTGCATCTGGCAGTCTTCACAGATGGTTTCCAAAGCAGATATGTTTTTGACATGGCCCTTTGTTCCAGATGCTTGAGCTTTCTTCTGAGGAGATTGGGTTGGGTTGTGAAAATATCAGCAAAGGTAAAATGAGTGGAAGCAACTAACTAATCTTTAATAGGAGTGCTGAATTCATAGATCCTCTCCTTTGCATTTGTACCTGTATGGGAAAATAGTTATTCCCAATTGACTGTCTTAGCCCATCTATAAGATATTACCTATTTGTTTTCTAATCTACTGGTTTTATTTTATTGTATTGTCATCTCAGTCTAACCTTTTACCGTATAAGATTCATATAATGCCAAATCCACATATATTTGGTAGTTATTTGGTTGGAGATGATTTTGAAAGACTCTGCTTATGGACTTGGAGATTGTTAGGACCAACAGTGGCCCATTTTGAGTTTGTATGCCATATAGAAGTTCAACACCTTTTCCGAAAAGAATGGTACTTTAGTGCTGTATGGAATTTATGGAATTAGAATTTTCCCTGTAACCCATTTGTGAAAAAGTAGTCAGGATCCAAAGCTGGCCTAAAGCACTCATCCTAAGTTCTTATAATTTTATGTGTTAAGAAGTCTGTCCATCCTAATTAAATCTTTTTGAAACCTGAAAAAGAAGTTAGGGATGAAATCTTTGTTCTTCAGTACTGGAGATACGGATCTCTGAAAGGTTGATAATGTCCCTTTTGGGGTAGACTTCCCTACGTATCTGACATACCACCTATGACTGCAGAAGGTAACTAAGTTTAAAGGTCATGGGGAGAAAAGATGAATCACTTGTGTGTGTTGCTGAATTTGGACTCCCATTTCACACAGAGCTTCGTTTAAGTATCTCCAATACAAAAAGTCTACAGACTCAAACCCCAAGTATTCCAATCTCCAAGACGTTCCTATTTTAGACACTGCTGGCTCTCACATCCCTATCACTATGAATCATAGAAAAGCAGAAAAGTTAGTAGGTTTCATGTTCCTGTTAGCTAGAGGTCATACAGTGGTGTCCTGTGTCATCACAGATCACAGTAAATTAGATGCTGTGAATGTCAGTGTGAAGAAAAGAGTCATTTAGAGTGGTAGGCATGGGTAGCATTTTTATTAAAAACTGAGAAGTGTGACTCATTTTCCTCAGTGCCAGAATTCAAGCCCTTTTATTCTGGTGAAAGAAGGGACAATATGGTCAGAGCAGTATACTCTGGCCCAATGGTGAGATTCAATAAGCATTATCAGAGGTAGTGTGGCACAAGATATCTCATTGTGATACAGTCAGCACTGGCACAGTCATGAAAGATCACCAGAAATTTAGCTGACTTTTGCATGCACGGAAGATCCATGGTAGGTTTGGAAAAGAGGTAGACTAAATCATGGACACCACCTCCATTCTATAACTATCACCCTTATATAAGGTTCTCTCTAGTTTTCCATTGACTGTCTTTCACCCGGGGGATTGGTGGTAGCATTTCATGGAAAAAATTAAAAGCACACAAATTGTGTTACACTGTTATCAGGAATAAATCGAAGTTACTGTGCTCTTTTTTTTTCATAAGACATAACCTTATAGCTGAGCTAAGGAGAGACAAGGCACACAGATCCAAATGCATGCAGATCCAGCTCTCAGCAACTCATCTTAGATCTTCTTCCATTCCCCATTTGGGCTTCATTCTCTAAGACCCCTTGGCCTTTTAGGAAGGTATAGTATTTAAGTAATACTTTTTCCCTTCCAAATCCCTGTGCCTTGGTCTTTATAACTTGAGAGATTTCTGGAACCCAGTGCCCTTTTTCCTTGGCTCATATGCTTTTATTTAAACTCATGATGAGATTGAAAACTCCAAAAGCTTCGTTGAGCTAGACAATTTAGGCGATCCTTGCATGTACTCCTATAAGGAAAATCTTGGCTACATAGTTTTAGATCCCAAGAGTACTGAATTTCCTAGTTGTAAAAATTGAACTGTCTATAGTGAGTATTGCTCTCTGATTATATTATATCATGAACTCTGTGCCCTTATCCTCCCTCCTATGTGCCTCTTCTTCGACCACACTTATGCGGGGTATTCTGTGCTCACACAGGTATGTGTCAGCCATGACCACCCCGGCTCGTATGTCACCTGTAGATTTCCACACGCCAAGCTCCCCCAAATCGCCCCCTTCGGAAATGTCTCCACCCGCGTCGAGCATGACGGTGTCCATGCCCTCCATGGCGGTCAGCCCCTTTGTGGAAGAAGAGCGACCTCTCCTTCTTGTGACACCACCAAAGCTGCGGGACAAGAAGTACGATCATCACCCTCAGCAGTTCAGTAACTTCCATCACAACCCTGCACATGAGAGTAACAGCCTCCCCCCTAGCCCCTTGAGGATAGTGGAGGATGAGGAGTATGAGACCACCCAGGAGTACGAACCAGCTCAAGAGCCTGTTAAGAAACTCGCCAATAGCCGGCGGGCCAAAAGAACCAAGCCCAATGGCCACATTGCCAACAGGTTGGAATTGGACAGCAATACAAGCTCTGAGAACAGTAACTCAGAGAGTGAAACAGAAGATGAACGCGTAGGTGAAGATACACCTTTCCTGGGTGTACAGAACCCCCTGGCAGCCGGCCTGGAGGCAGCACCTGCCTTCCGCCTGTCTGACAGCAGGACTAACCCGGCAGGCCGCTTCTCAACACAGGAAGAATTGCAGGCCAGGCTGTCTAGTGTAATTGCTAACCAAGACCCTATTGCTGTATAAAACTTAAATAAACACATAGATTCACCTGTAAAACTTTATTTTATATAATAAAGTATTCCACCTTAAATTAAACAATTTATTTTATTTTAGCAGTTCTGCAAATAGAAAACAGGAAAACTTTTATAAATTAAATATATGTATGTAAAAATGTGTTATGTGCCATATGTAGCAATTTTTTACAGTATTTCAAAATGAGAAAGATATCAATGGTGCCTTTATGTTATGTTATGTCGAGAGCAAGTTTTGTACAGTTACAGTGATTGCTTTTCCACAGTATTTCAGCAAAACCTTCCATATATTCAGTTTTTGCTGGCTTCTCGTGCATTGCATTCTGATGTTGACTGGATGTATGATTTGCAAGACTTGCACCTGTCCTTCTGTTTGCTTGTAGTAACACATGATCAGTACGTCTTGTAATGGCACATCCATCCGAAGACTCTTTATCTTTTGTATGAAGTTTTATTTGCTTTCAGAATATGAAATGATTTCTGTTTACTGTCAGCCAAAGGTTTGCTTCATTGGGCTCTGAGATAATAGTAGACCCAACAGCATGCTACTATTAAATACAGCAGGAAACTGCATTAAGTAATGTTAAATATTAGGAAGAAAGTAATACTGTGATTTAAAAACATTATATTATTAATCAGAAGAAAGCTTGCTCTTGCTAAAAGAAGCTACCACTTACTTTAGTTTAATTTATTTTTCTTGACAAAAAAGCAACCGTTTTAGGCATAGCTTTAGAAAATGGGTTCTGGCCTGCTATTAGGTTAAATCTAAAATCTTAGAAGAGGACTCAGTTTTACTTTCTCTCTTGGGGGAATGATCCAGCAACTCATATATTTGAACTACAGACCACAACTGATGACGGTGCAATCATTTCTGACTTGTCTCATCCACTGATTCAGGAGCTACTGACTGTTTGTGTCTTCTCAACTCCAAAAGAGGCAGATCTTGGCACTAAAAGCCGAGTGCAAACAGTTCACTCAGCAGTCTGCCTTAAACCCTTCTGGAGTTCAGTGTGCCTGTTGAACAGAGTGGCGACTTGTCAGCATTGGAAATTGGTTTCATTGTCCAGTGTTTAGAAGGCACAGGTGGAGAGCAGCTGTGTGACTTGGTTGACATTTTAAAGTTTGGTTGACTGCACCTTTCTCTCCATTATGTTTCTTTTGTTTTCAACATTGCCTTGATTAGGTCATAATTATGCATGGACATCTTTTGTCAGGAATGGCCAATGTGCATGTGATTTGTTATTAGCAAGAACCTTCCACAAGTGGCAACTTGCCAGGAAATGTCAATAGTGTTGGAAAGATTGCACCTTTACTTACAGAAGTGACCCCCATCTGTAGACTGACCTCTCCATTTACATATAGCCTGTATCACCCATTTTTCCCTTTCTGAATTTTTGCTTTATCATCACAAAAGCAGGACTAAGATTGGTCTAAATTTTGCATGTTCTCTTGTGATTGTAAATCTAATGAAGGCCTATAGGTATTAACATTTGAAATAATTCCTAATTCAAGGAAAAGAAGAAAAATTATGATGCAGAACCCATTTGGTGCCTGCCTGATACCTGTCAAACCAAGGCTAGAGCTTTGCCTAGGTTCCAGGTGGCCTCCAAGGAGCCATGGGACAAAAAAAGAAAAGAAAAGAAAAAAAAAAAAAAAACTGGAAACAGGCTGGCAGGGATTTCATATAATTAAAGAGAGTAATTGCTTCTTCTTTGCAAGTGAACTGAATGTTTTGCTTCACCAGATCTTTATTTTACAAATCAAAGGGAAGAAAGGACAAGCAAGTAGGTTTGAGAAGAAAAATGTAAGCTGAGCCTGAGTCAAAGTCTTTACACTCCTACTGTGTTTCCTGTTTTTTACAGTCCACTGAGAGGCTCATCTGCAGGTCCTTGATGTTAACTGTTAGCGTTTGGTATCCCTAGTTTTTCGTCATTGTTCCCATGCCACTGTCTCCGTGCTCAACATTGCTCTGGTTTGCTTCATAACCTACACAGAGGAGCCCCTGTCGGTTTGTACTGATTTCCCAACTGTGTAGAAATGAGGCCGTCATGGCGCGGGGAAGAAGACCATCAGATTGAAGAGGCTCTCTAAATTATTTTGACCTTGCCATTGAAGGCCTTGACTCTTGATTTTTCAATATTTCAATAAAGAAAATCCTGTCATTGTTTTAAAACCCTAAACATTCTGTTTTTATTTCTTTGGGCATTTGTGGGTATTCTGAAAAAAATTTCAAGACCAAGTAGGCTCTTCTGATGATGAGCATTTTCCTCAGTCTGAGAACTGCTATAAATTTTCAAGTTGCAAATAGATATGAAATTAGATTTCCAGCCTGCTTCTGATCACTTGTAGACGTGGCGTATTGGTTGAGGAAGCCTTTCCACTGGCTGAGCAAGGGTTTGTTAGATTAGAAAGGTCAGCTGGATGCTCAGGGCTCCCTGTGGCAGTCACCAAATATGTGTTCACAGGGACATCTCCATGGTGCTTTGCTGCCACATTGCTCATGAGCATCCCCGATTATAAATTTGGGTGGTACAGCAGCAAACCAAAGCGGAATAAACGCATGTTCCCAGCATATGGAAAGCTGTCTTGGTTTTTAAGGTAGTGGAAATTGCCAAGAAGTTTGACAGCAACTTTCTATCCTGGGTCTGAAATCATAGCCCACGGAGGGAGCATACTATACACAAAACTCCTTTTTCTTCCTCCAGATTAATTTTTCTATCCTGCTATCCTTATTATCCTTTTTTTAGTCCATAACTGCATGATGGGCAGCCTTCTGCTTCCCACGAAATCATACCCTGTGTCCTACACAATGTATCCCAGACAGCAATATGCCACCTTTTCTTGCTTCACTGTGACTGTCACGATGCGGATGGAGTTGACCCAGGGTAACTTGCTCTGTAACTGTTCCTTTTTTTGGCCTGCAGTTGAAGGGTGCATGGCTCACATTGGTAAAAATAAAGAAAGCCTGGTCTTCTCATTGAGTACTGGCTGCCTTCTACCAGCCAGAAACTATTTTATCCACCAAGACACACGAGACACTGCAGCGACTGCAGATCAAAGGAAATAGCCACATATCACACCTTCTATTATATATTCTTTTGTAAATACATATTGTACATTACTTGGATGTTTTCTTAAGTCATTTACTGTCTTTATGAGTTACTGTCAGTTTTTACTCTCTTAGCTTGCTGTGTAACATTGTAAATAACATAATGTCCTTTATTATTTATATTTAAACGTCTAACATAGAATTGTTTTCATATAAGTTTAAGATAAATGTCAAAAATATGTTTTTGTTTTTCTTTGCTTTAAAAATATGTACCTTTTGCTTTTTTTAAAATAATTTATTGTTCAGGAGAAAGAATGTATATGTAATTGAAGCTATTTGAAGAATGCACATTTGAAGGCCGCGAGGTACTGATAAACTAAAGAATTTATTATCCAAAATACTAAGCAATAAGTAATTGTGATTTATTTAAACTTTTGTTAATTTCCCAAGAAAGTCATACTGCAATAAAAAATGCTTCTCTGTGGAGACTTGGGCGTTTGCTCAGCAGACTAATGCTCCAGTCTGTTAGACCAGCACCTTTGTCTTGCTGTGACAGTTGTGCTCACTTAGGAATGTGTCCCATGGACCCACAGTCACCTTGTCTGTCTGTTACCTTTGCCATACCACCTGTCCTTGAGCCAGCTGCCTCCTGACTCTTACCACTGTATTCCTTGTTGAAGGGGCAACACAATCAAGCAATATGATTTCTCCCTCCCACCCAATTCTCCTCTCCATACACAGTAACGTCAGATAGGGACCTTTTAGGGTCTGATAACCAGGACTTTAGTTGCTGATGTGTGCTGCAGTAACAGCCAGAAACTTTTCAGATTAGTGGAAATGTCAGTGTGCCAATCCCATTCAATCATGTGGGGGGAAAAAAGAAAAAGTGCTATTGAGGTTCAAATGGGCCAGTGGTCACAATGTCCTGAAAGGCAGTCGCGCAGACCTCCTCTGTAGCTTCAGTAACTTTAGTCTCCATCAGTCCCACAAGTTATCAATGGACAGGATTTTTTTTCAAAAAAAATCTCAATTGAGTTCATCCCTCATTTCTATCAATGCAATGAAACACACAGATCCTCACTTTAGTGCTCAGGGAACGGCCTGTGTGTGAGATATCTCTCACATGCATAGAAATGGAGCTGTTACTTTTCTTATTGTAATAAATATAAACAAAAGCCATATTTTTAACACATGCATCTCTATGCAGTACTTTACTCATCTCAGATGTCAGAGTTTCGGCAGGATCTGAAGCAAAAGTCACCAATGCGTTGGGCTGGTCAGTGGTTTCCCTGGGCAGTGAGTGTAGCTGAGACTCCCTATCGAAGTCCACCTCCAAGGACGCACACAGTTTTATCCAGTGGTGGTTGTACTGACATCCATTCCAAACAGTCTAGATGTCTAGGAGATTTAAATACCAGTTAATTCTCTTGTCCATTAGTTATGCAGCCAACTGACCTTGCAGTAAATCAGAAAATATACAGAATATTTAAAAATTAAAGACTGAGGTACTTTACTGCTCAGGCTTTCTGCAACCCCTCCACTCCCCATTGAACACAGGAAGCAACTGTCTTAGTAATTTGGTTAAAATTGCTTACCTAAACTGTCATGATCTATGAAGCAAAGACATAGGTAGATAAAGTTGGTATAGAAAAGAATGAAGATTCACTTTAAGGCAAATTAAATATCTGGATGAGTATTACGGTTCTCTTGAAAACATCATCCAACATAGGATAAGGACTTTGTTATTAGAGTAACTATCATGCTCTAGCTGTTCCTTTTAAAAACAGACCAGGAAAAGGAGGCCAGTAAGTCCTAAAGAGGAGGCAGAGAATGGAATGATAGCTTCACTCAGCATCTTTTTCTTATGGTTTTCTGACAGATGGACTGGTTTGGGACAGAATTTGATAGAAGAAAAGGCATCTCCTCTACCCACACATACATCATGCCAGAAGAGCAAAAGAATTACCTCTGTAGATTTAAACATCTTTAATATCTGATGTATAATTTCCTTAGATACAGGAAAAGGAATCATGCATAGTGTTTTATAATATAATTTATTTTAAAATATTATAAAGCCATTATTTTGATTCTCTTTACCTCATGATATAATAAATGATGAGAAAAATTTAAGTTCAAAGAAGTGGAAAAATCTTTCTCAGACTTATATATCCATCAAATTATATAAAGAATATTTGTTCCCAGTGCAAACGGGTCTTTCATTTTCAGCTTTCCTCATGTAGAGAGTATAAATTACATCTCAAACTATCTCTCTTTGAGGAAGAACGGTAGTCCTTTTGGCTTCGATTTAGAGATATTCTGGGACTTAATTTGCATGGTTTCACAACTCTGTATAAACCTTTCCCTAGCTCAGCTTTCTAAAGAAAAGAAATGTAGCTATGAATGAATGTACACGTTGACTGTGTAGATCGCATCCTCTAATGAAAAAAGGAGAATCTAATTTCCACATGAAATGCACTATATTCCAAACTGATCAAGTCAACATATTTTATCATTTCTCCAATCTAGAGCCAGCAGGCAAGTTCTTTTTTAGAAACAACTATTTGTTGAAAAGTATAGTCACCAAAGAACTTTTGAAGATGTAGTGTAAACAATTTTTTATGTATTTTATATGGCATTAGAGTTACAGTTGCTTCCCATGTAGCCACTGGATTCTATGTCAGTTCCCTAGTTTATAATGGCTTATTCCATTAATGAGTCATTATAGTTTCAGCAATTTACAGAAACATGACTTTTTGTGGCATTTTCATAGCACTGCCTTCAACCTTCATTACAGACATCTGCTAGAGCCATCAAAAACTGCCCTTCACCTGACAGTGTGTATCTGTGCACACCTGTTTGCCTTAGTTTTTACCCTCAAAAGCTATAATTTCATCAAAAGTCTGCAGAGTGAGCGAATTAGGGCAGTCAGTTCTCAGATTAGTACCTAAATGCAAGAAGCCACATGGCTTACAGATGCTTACCATCCATAACTATTGACTGTCCATCATGTTTCTCTTCCTGCATAAAACAGGATTCTTTCCCTGCGTCTGAGTTTAGTTTCAATTAATGATTGATGGATTTAAGCTATTTACATCAAAATCTTTTAAAACTTCACCCCATGGGGATGAAGGGATGAGTAATTTATGTTTGTATCAATCATCAGGCATTGTTAAGAACAGCAAAGGATCCTAATGTAGTCTACACCTCTTCTCTTTTTCTGTAAATGAAAAGGTATCATTACTGAAGACAATCCAAACTGTGGCTACTACAAAAATAATGCCAAAGGACATTTATTTTTTAAAGAAGTCTTCTCGTGTAAACTCTGTGCTTTTTCTAATTTTTATTATCATAAGTTAGGTAGCACTTGCCGTCTGTCCTTGGCTTTCCTAAGAGGACCTCTCTTTGCTTCAGTGAGAGGTGCCCAAAAATCTTCACCGAGAATGGGGACCTCAGGCCAAGGGGGGGTATTGAGAGCCCTTCCAATGAAGACAAGCAAACCTTTGATCTTCAGGAAAAGGGCCCTCATTGGCATACATCTTTGCAGCTAATAAGATGCTTTATAGCTTCTCTCCACTATGAAGAATAAATTTTTAAAAAGTGTCACAAATAAGAGTTCCCTGCTCCCAATTCCCTGTGACCAGGTCCTCCCAATTAGAAGCTGATTCTGCGCATGGGGAAGAGCCCCCGACAAAGATTCCTCCTGCCCTCAGAATAGCTAGTGTGTGAAGCTGTCTCTCCTACAGCTCTTCCCTTTATTGATTTCTAAACACAGACAATCCACATTGTACACATGTCAAGTTTTCATACTGTACTTCTTTAAGATGGGCATCTATTACCTGTCAGTGTGGTAGTATTTGAAATCATGAAACCATGCACCTTTCTACTCCGAACAAAAACTGAGTCAGAGATGATTTGGTTTATGGAGATTTATCTAGGAAATACTTCTTGATTAGTTGTAGATCTGTTAGAAAACTTTAGGGCACAATCACATGGCATTGCATCTTTCCCATTATTTGCTTGCCTGATGACTTCTCTTTTACACATTTTGGAGGCTACTCTGTTTTGAGTAGTTAAATCTCTGGCCAGAAAAATGAAGAAAGAACCTTGGATTCTATTTAGATGTTAGCACAG